CAGTGCTGTGACTCAGGGAAAGCTGTTCTTCCTTCCTGCAGAAGGGTAAACAGAGGCCCCCAGCAGTGGGCTCACGAATTCAAGCTGGAGGCTAATTTCATTATAAGTAATAAAAAGCAAGGCAGGTTTAACTCTTTCTCTGGACTGGATGGGTCAACAATAGTCACCTTCCTGACCAAGACAATGACATAAAGCAGATCACTAACAACAGTGAGTGTCACAGAGACCCCAAGCGCTCACTCGTATGCTGTCCCCTCGGAAACCTGGGCACACAGTTGTGCTTCAGGTCCCAAACTTTCAGGAACAGACAACTGCTTCATCCCAGGGACAGATGAAAGGGGCCGAGGTCCGTGACTTCCAGGCAAAGGGAGGACAGTGTTCCATCTCTCTGAGGACTCCAAGAAGATGGTGGGGCCACAGAGTGACAGGAGCCTGGGTCCCTGCATGACACCATGGACCACGGCTCTCCTGTCTGCCTCACACCTGTGTACACACACACACACACACACACACACACACACACACACACACTGTTCCCATCCTCATATGCAGTAAGACAGCCCTGAGCCTCACCAGCAGCTGGCTCTCCTAGCCTAATCCCAACTTCATTACCAACTAGGTTGAGATATTTGGGTTATGTTTATTTGTGTAGCGGATTCAGCCTCTTGATTACGCTGGGTTCTGGTTAATGCTAAGATCTGATATAATAGTAACTTTTTTTGATTTCCTATTAACTTGTTTTGAAGTCCTGTAATACTCCCACTATCTTGTTTTGAATGATTAGACTCTGTTCCATTCTGTATGATAGTATCAAGTTTGAGAGTATAGGCAACTACTTTGAAGGCAATAAGATTCACTAAGATGCCCATTCTGGTTTGACTATTGTCTCCTTTGGAAGTCCTGTAATGTTTACAATGCTTAAGTTTTATTGGTCTTGTTCTTTACTGTTTTGTTCAACTTTATAATATCTAATGAGATAGACAATTCTTTTTAAGGAAACAAGAGACATTGTTGATAACCATTGTTGATAACCTTGTACTCTGTTTTACATCATGTGCTATGTCTATCCTTGGTTTTGACTGACAGCTTTGTTTTGCCATATTTGACTTATTCTCTCCCAAAAAAAAAAAAAAGTAATAAGAACTAAGGAGTAATAAAACCCAAAATGTGTAAACTTTGTTGTAAAAAAGAGAGGGGAAAAAAAGCTCTAAAGGATACAACAGCAAGTGTGTTTAGGGGTTAAATAGCTGACCATATTAATGTTTTTGGTTGGATCATTGAACACAACTGGTGCAGTCTCACTGTTTGAATGTCCACTTTGTATGCTTTGATACTGTGATTTGAGCAACTATCTCTAAGATGATAATATGTAATCTATTAACTGGTGATTTGTTATTTTTTTTTTGTAGTTCTGTATTACTTGTACCCTTACACTGCTTTATTTTGTTTTTTTTTTTTTCCTTTTAAATAAAATTTTTTTTAAAAATGCTAAGATCTGGTTCCCTTTCTCCCTGTTGGGTTACTGAGTCGAGCCTAGGATAAAAAGTCTCACCATGGAAAACCTTCGGTCTGGAAAAAGCCACCAGCAGAGATTCATGAATTGACTTCACATCGCGTCCACAAGGGCCCACTCCGTCTCAGTCCTGTATTCCTCCCTGCGCCTCCCAGAGCAGACAGCATACGCTCAGAGCCTGCTCCCTGCACGGGCTCATGAGGTCAGCTGCCAGTGAGAAAAAGACTGAAACACACACCTACCGGGCAAGTGAGAGAGCAACTGGGAGCACATTTTGCAAGGGAATAAATATGATTTCCAATCAATGGAACAAGCTGTTATCCACTCCTTGGTATGAGACTGCCAATAAAATATACTAGGTTCAAAGAAAGAATCGTTCACAGTTTATTCAGGATCATTATGGTATGTTTAAAAAAGGGTAAGCCATAGACTGACTCCTACTGGGCTGATAAGTAGAAAGAAAAAAAGGCATTTAAAAAACAAACAAACAAACAGAAGCCCAGGGCCCTGACCCTCTGGAGAAACCTAGGCTTGTGTTCCTGAGTCGGTCAGGAACAGAGGGCACCCGTGATAGGAACTGGAAGGGAACACTGGGCAGAGAGGCAACCTGAGAACCTGCCCCAGGGACCAGGCAGCGGGTAGCACGGTCTCATTTCTTGACCTGTGGAAATGAATTCAAATGAATCGATCTACTGCCAGATATTTACTGCATATTTATCAGCATTTGAAAACCTGCTGGAAATACTGAATCTGACCGTTACAGAACTGAAAGATCTGAGCAGTCTCCTGTCATGTCTCAGCCATGAGGCCCCTGCTTGACCTCCCAGCCTACAGAATGGGGAGGGTGATACCCTGGGTATCTAGGGAAGCAACGTAAACCGTTTGGCAAAGGTCAGCCCATGATTTACTTCCCCAGAGCAGCAGCAACCATCTTGAAGAGCCCCACGGTGCGGTGCGTTGTGTGGGTACTAACTAACAGGGTTCCCTGGAGTCACCAGGAAACTCCCATGAGGGGCAAAGCAGGGTGAGCCGGGGCAGTCTCCAGCCTCCCACCCTACTCAGAAGCAGCGCGGGGCTATTTTATACAGTATTAAACCTTCCCAGAACATATCATTAAACTAAAGGGTTCTGTAGTTTGGTAGGAAAAACACTAATCGCTTCCTCTTTTTCTGAAGCATTGAGGAAACTGGAGGCTGGAAAACAAAAGTTAAGCTAGGTTTTCTAATTCTCAGCTCCACCATCGTGTCCTGAAACCAGGCTCCCTAGGACAGACAGGACTCAAGTTTCTTCTTCCCGCCATGCCTGGGCTCCTAATATCCAGACCTTGGCTCTGAATGCAAGCTGGCTCTGGGAACTGTGGCCCCTCAGGGGACAGATCAGAGCTGCCCGAGGTTGTCTCCTCCTGGGATGAAAGCACCCCTCCCTCCCGTGCCACCCCAGAGGCATTCTGAGCACCGCCCTGCTTGCTGTGCATGTTGAAGGCTCTGCTCAGCAGGTTCCAGGCCTGGGCTGCAGTACCACCATACAGCAGCCACAACTGTCATGACTACAGTAGTAATGGCAGCAGCACCAACCAGCATTTACTCACTAAGCACTGCATACCCAGCATTTGAAAGGAATTTTAAGACCATGCTGTGATGAAAAGGGCCATTACCTCCCTTTTGCAGAAAAGAAAATCAAGGTCCAGAGAGGAGTAAGTGACCCACCCTCTGTACTCCGTTGAGAAGAAGGTGGCCAGATGCTGCCCCCAGGTACTCTGGCTTCCCGTCACAACCTCATTATCACCCACACAGAGCCTCCCAAAGCCAGACCCACATCCCTGGACGAGATACACAGGCAGCAAGAGAAAAATCCCCTGGATAAGTCAAGACTAGCTGTATCTGACCAGTGGAGGCGGGGGAATTCCAGAAAGAAAACTAGGGAATTAAAAGACCAGAGGGGATGGGGGCTGGGGATTTAGCTCAGCAGCATAAGCGCCTGCCTTGCAAGCAGGCAGTCGCGACTTCGATCCCTGGTACCGATAAAAATGAAAAAGACCAGACGGATGGAAACTGCACATCTTCATCCAGCAAGCCAGGACTCAAAAATACAAATGCTGGGCATGGTGGCGCACGCCTGGAATCTTAGCACTGGGGGGAAGTTGAAGCAGGAGGATTGCCACAAGTTCAAGGACAGACCACGCTACACAGTGGAACCCTGTCTCAAAACAAACAAACAAATGTCTAGGCCTCTTTTGTGGATCCAGAGAAGCTCCCAGGAGGCAGAAAGACGGAAAGGAACACCTCAATGGCCTCACCCTCCACTACTGCCCCTCCTCCTTGCCTCCAGGTTCCCATCCAAGCATGCAAGCATCCTACATGCGGTCGGCACTCCCACATTCTCCCACCACCCACCTGTTTCAGTAGAGAACCCACAGAACCACCTGCGGTTCATGGGGGACTGATTGATCCACCACCCTTTGTGCTTCTGAAAGAGAAGGATGGCAGAGGGCCACATCCCTGCTAACACTGTGCCTGTGTACCCGTCCTCACTGACCCCCTTTGTGTCCCCCATTACTCCTGGACCAGTTTCTGTGCCTGTGCTGATTCCTCTCCCTCTCGCCGTTTATGCCCTTCAGATATTTGCAGGCTATTACCATGTACCCACTTAGCCAAGCAGCACACATTAAGTTCTTTTCATCTTTCCTCATAAATCAATCCCTTAATCCCTCCAAGCCCTTTAATCGTACTCACTGCTCCTCTCTGAACTCCATCCAGTTTCCTCAAATCTCTGATAATGTTGTGACATGGGGCTGGATGCAAGGCTCCAGCTGCTGACTCACCAAACTCCTCAGAAGTCCAGGAGCTTGCTGCGTGCATGTGCATGCACACGCATTGGCACACACACACGTGCGCACACACACACGCAGCTACATCCAGGAAGGTAGACGCCTGCCTTGCCAACTGCCAGCTCCTAGCACTCTTGCTGCAGCCACATCATCACAAAGTGCACAGTGCTCTCAAGGATTTTGGTGCCATACAGAACTTAAAAGAGGAAAAGTCTCACAGGAAGCTGCTAAGCCCCATAGGATTTTCACTAGCTAGTCCCACACATCCCCTGAGAATAAAAATAATGCCTCTGAGATCAAGGGGGACCAGGGAACCCAGGAAAAGGCCAGCTATAAGCCCCCAGGCCATAAATACATTAAAACCACAGTAGACACCATCACCCACTCATCAAATAATGGCTGCAGTTAAAAAGATTGACAATGCCAAAGGTCGTTGAAGATATGGAGCAACCAGAATGCTCCTACTTTATTGGCAGAGATACAAATGGCAGAGTCACTGTCATGGTTTATGTCCCAGTGGCCCGCAAGCCTTATGAATTATGAACTCAACCAAATCTAGCATTTGTGATTGGCACGTTGTCTAGGGTTTGGATTGGTGAAGTGAGTGTTACACCCGCCTAGGGGTGGAGCCAGCATATGATGTAACAATGGGAAGAAGGTGTGTCTCTCTCTCTTGCCAGTTTCCGGCTTGCTGTTTGCAGCTGCCATGAATTGCAGCCCCACCATGCCACCCTTCCTTGGAGCCAACTAAGTATGGACTGAAACCTCTAAGAACTGTAAGAAATAAACCTTTCCTTCCCTAACTTTGGGCATCGGGTATTTTGTCTCAGTGACAAGTAAAAAGTAACTAAGACAGTCACTTTGGGAAATGGTCTGATATATCATTATAAAAAACTAAATACACAAATAACCTGGGACTCAGGAATTTCACCCCTAGATATTTACTCAAGAAGAGAAAAATATATGTACACACTAAGGCTTGTACACAAATGTTCAAAGCAACATAATAGCTAAAATTCAAAATCAGATCAGCTGATGTTCAATAGGAGAATGAACAGACCACAACATATGCTCTCACTGAGAAATTAACTCAACAACTTGGATGAATCTCAAACACTGTGCAGATGAAAGAAACCTCACATACGCAAAGATCCTCAGCACATGAAGTTCTAAAATAGTCAAAATTAAGCTAGGATAGTCACCTAGGTAAGAAGGCATATGGAGATAGATCTTTCTCAAAGACAAAATGTATATATAGATAAATAATGTGAAAACACTATGAGGGGGAGAAATGAAATCTACTTGTCAGAAAAACAGCCTCCTCTATCATTGGCATCTTAGTAATGGTAATAAAAGCAGGGTAAAACAAATACCAGAGAAACCAAGAAGGGAGAAAAAAGTTATGAAATGCCAATCTGAAGGAGATATGGAACTAGAGAGGACATTCCAACAATAGCTCGGAAGAGGAAGGGGTGGAAGAGATGGGTTAGATCACGTGAGAAAATGACTCATTAGAGTTGGGAGTGGTACATACTTGAATTCACAGCACTTGGGAAGCTGAAGCAGGAGGATCTCAAGTTCAAGGGCAGCCGGGGCTACACTGTCAGACTGTCTCAAAAGAATAAATAATATGATAGATGAATGAATGGATATATGATGCAGCACCATCTCCAGGCAGCCTGTCTCAACACCATTCTCCTTCCCCCTCAGGAACAAAACCTTACGTTGTAGCAGGGCAGGCTGCCATCCAGGTAAAAGACTGCAATTCTCTTAAAGTGAGATGTGGTCTTACATCTTGCCTGCCGCATGGACCCGCTAACAGTACTCCTTAAAAAGGAGGAATAAGTGCCCTCTTGTTGCTAGCCTGGAATGAGAACAAACTAGAGGGACCTCTGGGGCCATCTTGGGCCATGAAGTTTAGTTCATGATGCCGTATCTCTGAGATGGCAAGGCAGAAATAGAAGGAGACCAGGTCCCTGATGATATCACAAAGCCACTATATCCGCTCTAGACAACCAGCCTCTAAACTTCTCTACACGAGAAAGAAATCAACAGGAATTTTGTTTAAAGTAACCAGGGTTACTTTGCTGGTAACTAGGGTTATCTCTCCTGTCCAAGTGAACCTAATCCTAAACGGTAAAGGGAAATAGATAATATATTTTAAGAGGTTAAGTTTTTAACAACACATTTTTACACCTTAATCAAAGCTTTGGTTGAAGTTGTTCCTACTACACCAACTAGGAAGGGTTGTTACGTTAGCCTCTCGTAACTATAACAAAATACCTGAGGTAATCAACTTATAAGGAGAAAAGGCTCACCTCAGCTCACAGTTGCAGAGGTTTCCAGCCACAGTCACGTGGCCCCTTTGCTTTTGGGCTTGTAGGGAGGCAACACGTGCAAGAACACACAATGGAGGAGCCTACCCATTTCCTGGGCAGCCGAGAAGTAAAAGTGGGAGAAAGAGGAGGGGTGGTGTTCTAATGCCCCTTCCAAGGCCATGCCCTGGTGAGCTAACTCCCAGTAGACCCCGTCTCTTAGAGGTCACCACTACCACCTCCCAATAGCCACTAGTTACTGTAAGTTGAAGTCCCCATAATTCCCCATTTAAAAAGACCATCATTTTCAAGCTTCTAAACCAAAACCATTGTTTGAAGCAAATTTGCCTTTGGGGGGCGCTATCCTTTACAGGAGGAAGTGGGGAGAAATGTGGCTTCCTCCTTAACCCTACCTCATAGCAAATGAACTCTAAGATGCCTACTTACGGAAAGATGACAGGGAGAGCTGCAGGCTTTAAACAGGATCATCAAGCAGTCCATCAGAGAGTTGCCAGAGCAGGTGCTACCTAAAGAGAGTGAGGGAATAAGGGACCAGAGAAGTGACAGTCTTTCCAGGCACCCTAGTGACTGAGTGGGGCTGAGAATGCATCTTCCAAGTGCCATCAAAGGCCACGCTGAACCACCGGCAAGTCTCACCATGCCTGTGCAGTAAACTACCCAAGAGCAGGGTAAGGAAATTGAGGTACCTAAAGTGCCAGGTTGTAATGACACGATGTGACCTTCTCAATCAGGAGAATGACAGTTTTCCATCACATCTGCAGCTGTCACTGATTCCCCACTGCACTCTACAGAAAGGTGGCTTGAGTGTAAGCCAGGCCTGCCTGGGCATCAGAGTAGGGACTGAGCAGAGAGCTCCCCAATCCACAAGGCTCTCTGAGCTCCCCTGGTTCCCTACCTGCCATCTTCCTGTTCTTTCTGGGCCCATGCACTGTCCCCAACCTGGACCCTCCATGGTTTCACCTCTCCCCAACCCAGACCTTCTCTGGAGGCCCAAGAGGACGAAAACTCATGAGATTCTCAGCAATAAACAAGTTCTCCACTCCCCAAGTCGGAGGGCTTTTTCTCCAAGGAGATCCAGGTGGGTGGGAAAGTCATCTCTTAGGTTCTCAGAGGCTGAATATTAGTGATAAGTTTTAAATTGCTGTCCATTATTAATGTTAACTCACAGCAGTCAGCGCTGAAATCTGCAATTATAACAATTCATAAAAACAGCGCTTGAAGAGCTTTCGAAATATAATTGCAACGCAGCACAAAGTAAAATAAAAATTCAGATTTTCTTTTACCGAGGCCATGAACAATACTGTCCTTTTTACAGCAGCGGAAAGCCTCAAGACATCCGTTATATTCCTTCAATGAGCTTTGTTCAATAAATGCTAAGCCTTGAAGCTTTTAAATGTATTAAAGTGATTATGATATCATCACTCCAAAGGCACTTCAATAGAACATTAAGACAGAAACAATTTTCCTCCACACAAACGGCATAACAGTAACAAAAAGTTGATTAAATGCACATTGTATCAAAAATATTTTCAGTATTTATAGACATATGTAGATAACGCTAACTGCAATCCACGCCATACGCAGGGAAGAGGACAGAATGAAAAGCATTAGGGGGGAGAGTAAATTTGAACAATAAATCCCCAAAACTTACACTCTGGCTTGACTGTGACTTTGCTGGAGGATTTACAGTCAGAGTTACATAACATGAAAGAGACTAAACGCAACATTAAGGAATCCTAGAAGTCCTTTCCGCATAAGCCAAGGCACACGGCCCCTCACATGCGCTACACGGTACCCCCTTAAATGCATCAGTACGGTCACGGCAGGCAACGCGAATCTATTTAAAGCACGTAATGTGCTGCATTTAACATACTGCAGGCAGGCAGGGACTCCACAAAGGGCAGATGCCTTCAGGCAGCAAACCAGAAGGGGTAGAGAGGTTAGGAAGGGGCCGTGAGGTGGGGTCACAGCAGAACCACAAGATGCAAGGTTCTCTTTGTTACGGGCTTGTTAGAGAATGCTCTTAGCACAGATAAGGGGATTATGAATTCACATGTGAATTTATCCCCTATTAAACTTTCAGCAAAGGGGTCAGTTGGCTGGAATGGCAAAGCCAAAGGCACCATGGTCACATGCCAAAGGAGGAATTACTCCTGACAGATGTAAGGGAGAAAAAGGGGGAAGTTCCCGTCCTTTCTCCGAGAGCACGTAGATTGTTTACATCTGTTCCGTTGTGTGCCTCGTCATTTTGTTCCTCTTTAGCTTGAGGACACGCACCCCATGCTCTGAGAACTCGATGGCACCCTTTTTCCTGGGTCCCCATGGCATGCTGGTGTTTAAATTTTGTAGTAGCTATTTATATAGTAAGGATATTGATCCTACCTAGCCTGTCATGGGTGATACAAGCACTTATAAGTTGGTTTTGCCTCTTTGGATGGTTTATGGGGTTGTGGAAGGTAAAGGAGTTTCACATCTTAAAATAAAAAGGAAAACAGGAGTCTGAGAAACAGACAGAAAGAGTACAGAGAAGGCAATGAACTCCCAAACCAGTCAAGACCAGATCCTTCCATCTGACCAAGCGCCATTCAACTTGACTTACCCCCTAGGCCAAAAGAAGAATATCTTATGTTTCTCAGCAGAAAATGCTCAATAAACAATGCAGACTACAGAAGCAAACCACTGACTGGGCCTTTTATTACTCAACTTGGAGCCCTCGTGATTTTCTTTATGGGAGTCTATGCTTGTCCGTCTCTCCAAACACTGTTTCCTGGCCCTAGCAGCTTCTTAAACCAGCCCAGAGACAGGAGTACATAACAAAATACCAAGAAAAGTGGGGAATAAAGACAGTATGGGGTGACAAGTTCCCCCACTCAAGCAACTAGCCAGTGCTGTGGGCCAGAACTGATTTTCTATAAGACATCAGAAAGCATTACCTCTACCCCACTATACTGCCCACAGGGTTGGAGTGGAAATCATAATTAATTCAGGCAAATTCAATTCTGCAAGTCCAAGTGGAAAATATTTTCCTTATTATATGAAATACAGACTTAAAACAATTGGTGGTAGCCATAGCAACATGCTCAATGAATAATGATGCAAAGCTACTCAATGAAATGCTGGTGACCAAATCATAATTCTTCCAGGTAGAGGAAGAATGCCCTTCAAAAAAAATAAATTCATGCTGGGGATTTAGCTCAGTGGTATAAGCGCCTGCCTGGCAAGCGCGAGGTCATGAGTTCGATCCCCGGTACCAAAATAAAATAAAATAAATTCAAACTTCAAAGAAACTGTATTTCTGTTAATAGTCCCACTTCCCTCCCTCCCTGACTATGATATGAGATAGGTAGGAGTGAAAGTCAATTTAATTCCTCAACTCTCTTGCTCCGTTAACCCAACATAAATATTCTTTGCATTAGAACAAGAAGTATCACTGTGCTCTGATCCAACAGGAGAAGCTGCTCCCATGTCCAGTGTCACCCCAACCCACAAGAAACTATAAGTACTGTGACCGTCAACTCCGAATTAGCCACCAGCGAAGAAGAATGAATGGCTACTTCGAAATAGGTAATCAAGACACAGACTCCTTTTGGTTTCCGAGTCTCTTCCATTGGTTGGGAAGGTCACAGAGAAAGGGCAACGATTGGACCAAGAAGCAGTTCTTTTGGGTCTAGTTGCAATCCCAGGACGGTGAACCAGAGGCCTTGGACCAATTAATATCTTTCCATAGGGCCTCGATCTCTGTCTAAAATGTCTTAGTTGACTTATGTGTTTCCATATGCTCATTCTAATGTCCTGTAACAGTGTGACTATTACAACATTCCTAGCAATATTCTGCTTAAAATTATATTAAGTGAGTTTCTAGTTCTGGTCCCTAACAGCAAGGGTGAAAATGTGCTCAGCAAAAAAGATGCCATTCCACAGTTGAGAGTCAAAGAATGGTGCTCAAAGTGAAAATCAGAAGTTGACTCTATGTAAATGCACATCATACATGTGAAAATATCAACTTGATCAAAATACTTATTTCATCCTCACAACTTTATTAAGTGCCATTAGGGAATTCCTCTTTCAACTAATTACACATGCTCAGAAATCAGATGACTGTTTCACCTTCCAGTTCCTTAAGCAAGTTCCATAACATCTTTGAACTTCTGTTTCTTCATCTAGAAAGTGAGAAAGGTAATAAATGGTTCCTTGAACATCGGATTATTGTGAGATGCAAATGAGATAATCCATATAAATCAAGCACAGTAATTGCTATAATTATTATTACCGCTACCACCCTCATTACCATCTCTATTAAAATCCCACTGGGTTGTTGTAAGAGTTAAATGAGAACACATATTAAGTATTTAGCACCAGTACTTGGCACATAGTAAAAGGCAATAAATGCTGCCATTATTCTTACCATTCACTACATTCATCTATGGAGCTTTACTGCACCTTATCCTCAGATAAGCCTGAAGCATTTTAATCTTTAGTCTGATGTTTCTTTTTTTTCTCCACAAGAATTATTTTCAATGGAACAGTTCTAGCACTCAGGTCCCCTCAAACACAAACTACAAACCCCGAGCCATCTAACACTTCTTGGTACTCACAAAGCTTGATAAAAGAAACTGAGGAATGTAGATGGGGAGACTTATTTTCCTCCCTGAAAATGTAAAAAGGTCAGACCCAATCAGCTCAGAGACTCCCTTCTAGTTCCAAAGTCACACAACCCTCGCCACCAGCCACTAAAAGAGTGTGGGTCACACACAGTGCTCAACTTCCGCTCACACAAATCTCAGTGTCTGGGAACCCCACCAAAACAGCTTGGATTCACACAGAGCAACAAGAGCAGCTTGTGGAAAGGGAAACCGGAAAATCCGGGCTTTATCCAGCTTTACATGAAGAATGATCTGGACCTTTCTGGACACCAAGTCATGGAGACCAGTCCATGAGTTTCTCTACTAATCCTTTAGATTCTACTTGTAATAATATGCAGCAACATGCCATGTTATTTCAGTCCTCTATCTGTGAAATTTCTATTTCTTCTTCTAGAAGTCCAGTCAGGTGGATGTGGTTCTGCCCACAGTGGGGGAACTGCTGCAAAGGGAATTAAAGTGAATGCCTTCACCCTCTAGTAGAGGCAGCTCAACAAGCAGCCCATCTTTCCTTCTTAGCAACCATGTTAAGTAACAAGCACTGTGTGTTCCTTTAACTCTAACCTACGCGATGCCTCTTTCTGGGGAAAATGCACATGATCTTAGGACTCAAGTGAAGACTCGAGGCACCATGTGACAATGGGTGCAGTCTCCCAATTTTAGTTGGTTCCCAGGAGGGGAAAGAAAACTGCATGGTGACAGGTAAGGTTCTCAGGCCTGTCATGAACATAAGCAATCATGCTTCGGAGAACAAGACTTTCCAGCATCTTCCCCAAGAATCCTTCCATTCTATATCCACCGGCAGCATCAGTTCTGCCACCAACCCACATTTTCCTTTCATTTCCAGAACAGTGATAAATCGAACCTTCCAGAACCACAAGGGCGGTGGCAGGACACTCAGCATATCACCCTGACACCCACTTACTTGAAGCCTGGTAAGTGAGTCTCAAGAAAGAAAACAATACTAACTTTTTATGCCTATTATTTAGTTACTTTATTAGAGTTTTCTAACTCCTCTGCACAAAGGGAAGAGTAAGCTATAGAAAACTAAGTGGCTTTGTCATCAAAAGCCTTCAGCACATTGGCACGAAAACACCTGTCAGTGCAAAAGATGCCTCTTTATCAAGGCATCATACCTACCAGGAGCCAAGCACACTCTGAGCTTTCAGACTATTTTCTTCCAATGTTTTGAAGTCCCTTTCAGTTCACATGAAGGCTAACGGTTTCAAAAAGGTGGGGAAAGGAAAGGAAAAGTTCTATTTTTTCCTTAAGAAAAAGGCAAAGATACTGAGCTGTGATTATGAAGTCCTAAAAGCCTTTTAGCTGACAGCATAGAGGCTTTGTTGAATAGCTCTAAGAAGCTCTAGTGAGAGACACAACGTGGCAATAAAACAGAGGCAGAGCGTACACAGTTTAGCATCCCTGGCCTCCCTAACTCAGGGACCCCACTTTATGCCATAAGTCAGCTTTCTCCCTGCAGTAGCTCTGTGGAACACTCAAGGTCCAGAGAGGCATCAGAGCAACTGACACATGAGCTCAACCACCCCATACATCATGTGCTGCCAACAGAGAAATGAGTTTGTATCAAACTCAGCACAATTCTGCAGCTCCAACCAGAATTTCAAAAATAGCAGAAATGGCTTAAACCCGCAGAGGGCCCCCAGGCCCACCTGTACAGGTCTAGTAGGGATGCTCCGTCCTTGAAGCCCGCACCAGGTGAGGATGCCCAGCTCCCAAACGCTGTGCCACTCAGAAAGCCTCAGGCCACTCACAGACATTTAGTACTTGGGCACTGACAGTTTTCACAGCGGGTCACTCTGGCTTGGGAAGAGTCATGGTCATCACTGCATAAAGCCACCAGTTATAACTCCAGGAGTGAATGCCCCTTCCTGCTGTTCTGCCCTGAGCACTGAGTTCCAATTATAAGAAACTAGGACTGAGTTGTAGGAAGAAGGAACCACAGCAGAGGTGATTTCAAGAATCTCCCAGACTCTCACACATCCCAAACATGAACCCGAAGTCTCCACAGCACTTGGGTGCATGACACACCGGCTTTTCGGTGATGGAGTACTCAGCCTCTTTTTAGACATACCTTTTTTCTGAAACTATTACACTCAGAGAGCTTCGAGCCATGGCTCCAGACCTATCCATCTAACAGCAGAAAGCACCTCTCAAGCTCCTTTCTGACACGAGCCCATCACTCACCATTTGCTGGTACTCCCGGTTTTTGCTGACAAAGCTCCATTACTAGAAAAAGCTCAGTAAGTAAAGCTGATTTGAAATAACTATATATTATACGGAGGCTGGATGAAGAAAACTGACTTGAAGTCTAGAAAATCATCATATACAGAGGCTCTAGAAAGAACTGCTTAATTATTTAAATACCTCCACTTCCTACCGCCCACACATCACTTGATTTATCATTAGTGTTAAATATTTGGTAATTTATTGAGGTCATCTGACAAAACAACTCCATATAGCAAGTCCATATCAGACACTGTAATTCTCCCAGGGAAATGTCTCCGTCTTCCTGATTAATGTTAGGATACTGAGCTAATGCTATCAAATGGAGGCGTGTGCCAATGTTGGCTCACCTGCAAAAGTGCAAAGCTGAGCGCATGCCAGCCTAAGGAGCAAACGATCATGAGCTGTCCACTACTGCTGCTGGGGTGGCTGAAGACACAGCTGGGGTGATCCCAACAAAGACACTCATGCAGAGTCAGCTGGGTGGAGATGACTGGCCCCGCAAGACTCCCATGTCCTGACTCAATGGCAATGGACACAGCCACCCTGGATATCAGGACCTCCATGCAGAGGAGGGGGTATGCATTCTCTCCTACATACCAAACTCTCTCTAGGCCCCCCACGTTCGTGTTGGCCCCCCCCACCAGCTCTGAATGCCCCATTACCAACTCTCTACTTCCTAACTCTTGATCTTCAAGAATCCTTTTTTTTACATAAAGATTTCCTTCATTATCCAAGCTCAAAATGCTTTCTCTGGTCTTTTATACTACCTACATACTACGAGTTGCTGGCGGACCAAAGTCAAACCACCTCCTTAATCCTCCATACAATCTGAGGTGTTCTTAGCATACTAATGAATGATAGTGACTCTGTATGCTCCATGCCATGTTAAGTCAAACGAGTTAAATATAAGGAATATAAGACACCTACTATCAGCTCATCAAAAGAGCTGATAGAGTGTGAACACGGCCACTCAAAAGCAGATACATCTTTTAAATTGCACATGATCACATATAAGTTCATAAAGATGACCCAAAATTGCAAGAAGTAGATTTGACCACATGTAAGGTTATAAAAATGACCTAAAATTCCAAGAAATAGGAACAGACTTGTAACCCCATAAAAGGTCATAAAATGACCTTCAATTCCAAAAAGTAGAGGACTGCAGATAATATTCTCTGATCACAATTTGCAGAAAGTTTTAAATCCTCTTCAATAACTTTTATGCCAAGGAAAAATTAAAATCCAAATATTCAAAATCTAGAAAATCAGTATGCAAAAAAATAGGCTTATTCTTATAGGATACAATTAAAGTAGTGTTCAGAGGAAACTCATACTTTTAAGTATACTCAATTCTAAAGAAGAATAAAATGCTTAAATTGGCTATGCAGTTTAAAAACAAAGGAACAAAATAAACATCAGGAAAGGAAAAGAATTGGTAGAGGCAAAACAGTAATTAAAAAGAAAAAAGTACTACTAATAAATCTAAGAGTTATTAAAAGAAGATTTAATCAACTATTAAATAATCAAAGGGGAAAACAGAAAATATAGTCAAAATAAGAATGCAAATGTATATATAACCACAGATACATAATAAATTAAAAGACACAGAAAATGTAATATTGCTCAATTTTCTTCTAATGCATTTAAAACCTGTACAAACTAGGCATTTTGTAGGACAATTAAAACTAAGCCCAGAAAATACTGTAGATCTAAAGAGAGCTTAGTGCAAAAGATATAAAATTATCAGATGACAAAGCCCCACATGTTCTACAGACAAATGTCGCTATTCTTCAAGAAGTAAATAGCTATAATGTTATCTAAATTGTTTGTTCCAGAACATAGAGAAATGTTCTAAGTAGTTTTACAAATAAGTACAAATACTCTTCAACTGACAGTGGGTTACAGCCTGGTGAATCCATCAGTCGTTGAAAATATCGTAAGTTGAAAAGTATTTAATACACCTGTTGTAGTCAGAATTTCCAAGGGAATAGATTTAATACAGGACACATAATTTATAGGATTATTTTATAATATTCACCCAAAAAAGTCAAATGCAGAAGAGTGCAGGAAATCTGTCCACACATTAGAGACCCAAAGAATCCAGCTGAGGTCCTGGATCCTATAGCAATGTCACCTGGAAGCCAGGAGTCCATGACAATGTCTCATGCAAGTCTATATCAAGGCCAGTGGTGGAAGCTAGAAAATCTGTGCCAGTGAGATGAAGGATCTGTGCCAGATCTGTACACTGAAGCTATGAAGCAATGCTCAAGGTAAGGACCAGAGCTTCCCCAAAAAGAACCATAACTATCCTCGGTGACAGCGAGGACCTGAGCTCCTCCAATGATGAGAACAGCTCAGTTCATATCAGGAAAACCAGCCAGACAAGCTTCTCCAGGAGAATCAACAGGGTACCATCTTCCCCTCCAGTTCTCCTTGTACATTGTTGGTGACAATCCTCCCTTGGGCCTTCCACACCCAGGCGCCTGCTGATTCAGTTCAGCTGGGTGTTACAAGTCGCCCATTAGTCAATCCACCACACCTAACCTAGGGGCAGCTCACTGCAGAGTAAGGCTTTTCCCCCCTTGTAACTGCATGGCTGCCTAAGGACTGTGGCATATGGCCCAGAATTGTGAGAGCTTTCATATCATACAGCAATAGCCTCCAAAAACACCGAGTTCAAAGAATTTTTTTTCTACTGAATGGTTATCATTTTTGCTTCACGGTAAAGTTGAAAAACTGTAAGTCATCGTTCTAAGTTCAAGATCCATCTATATAACATTCTGTTACTCTGGTCAGGCTGCCTTAACAAAATACTAGGGACACTAGGTCTCTTACACGGAGACTTCTACGTCTCACATTCTAGAGGATGGCAGTCCAGGGTCAAGCAGCCATGCAAGTGGTTCCTAGTAAGGCATCTTCATGGGTTATAGACAACTGCCTTCTTGTTGTGACCCCCATGGTCTCCTGTTTTTGCACAGGAGGAAAGAAAAAAAGAACTTTCTATTGTCTTGTTCTCTTTTTACAAGGGGGCTGGGGATTTAGCTCAATGGCATAAGTGCCTGCCTAGCAAGCGTGAGGTTGTGAGTTTGATCCCTGATACCTAAAAAAAAAAAAAAAAGAACATTTGACCCGTTGGATATTAGGGTCTCTCCTTTTGATCTCATTTAACCTTAATTACATTTTTAAAGGCCCTATTTTCACTTCCTTTAGATATCTTCACTCTCTACAGACCACAATCATTTGATTGATCATCAATGTTAAATATTTGGCAATTTATTAGGGTCATTTGAGAAAACACCTCCGTACAGCCACATTGGGAGTTACAGATTTTGAGGGAACAGCCCAGAAACAAACACAGGCAAATCCTGACCAGTATAAACTCCACCCAATTGCTCTCATGAAAACTGATGCAAAACTTTAAACAAAATACTAGCAAATAGGACCTCAGTGACACATTAAATGAGTAGGGTATCATACTTCACAGAAATTTTAAAACCTTCTCTTCACCAAGTAATATTACATCACTTTTAAAGGAATGTTTTAAATAGGATTTCTAAGTGTCTCAATATTAAGAAATTTAATATAGTTTATCACATTAATAGGTAAAAATGGGAGGAACTATCTGCTCAGCTCCATAAATGCCAAAGGTTCAGCATCACTTTCTAACTTGAAAAGAGAATAAAGTAAT